TGACAGTTTTGGCCCGCCGAGCAGCAGTTGTTGCCGCACACCACCGTCCCTGTCGGGCAGCAGCCACCGGTCGGCGTGGGCAAGCCAGCGCAGCTGCGGAGAGGCGACAGCAAATGCGAGTAGCAAGAGTTGGAAAGCGGACACGGGCCACTCCTGGGGCTGCAACAGATCGCAGGCGGGGGCACGGCACCAGCGCAATTAATGGGCGTGGAGCAGAGGGTGCAGGTGGTGCGGGGCCAGCCGCTCGCACCATTGGTTTCCTGAGCAGACTGAGCCTTGTTGGCAGCACACATTGCCGCAGACAACACCTGTGATCGGCAAGAAGGCAAAAAATCACACCCTATCAGGGTGTGATGCATGGACGGTGGGCGGGACCTAGCAGGGGAGGCTGCGTTAGCAAACTTGGGGCGGCTTGACCCCCTGGCTGGTGTGTGTGCAGACCGCCACCACGCCAGCTGCCAGCCACAGCAGCTCGCGCCCGCACATCCGCACCCTCACCGGAGGGGCAGCAGACCCCGTTGATGCACGGTGTGCCACTCGCACCTTGGAGAGGGCGGGGGCGGCGTTTTGGGCGGTTGTGAGGCGGTTGGCAATGCACGCTAAGTAGACAGATATTGGTCAGATTGTAGGAAACATGTTGTGGATATGTTTCAATGTTTCAATGAAGCTGAGCGGTGGCCATAACATGGCGAAGCCATGCATGCAGCATTCAAAGGCACAAGCTGCGCTCACAGCATGAGGATCCGCAGGGGCTCTGCCCAGCAGGGCAGCAGCCACCCCCCGGCCGGACGGCTCCGGCGGCGCCTGTGAAAGGGGGTCAGCGGGCGGGGCGGGGAGGGGCAGCGGGTTGGGCTCCCTCGTCGGCGCGTTGGCAGCTGGCAGGCCGGACCGTATCCTACAAGCGGTGGGTTCGTCAAGCCACGCATGCTCTCATCCACGAGCAAAGAGCGCGTTGAAAACGACGCCTGTAACCGTGATAGGATGTGACTGCACTGTTTACGGTCGTCGCTATGCAACCAGCCCACGGACCGCTGGCGCCCCCGTTTGGCTTCCACCCAGCCACCCACAGCATGTCCTTGTTACGCCATCGCACTGCTGGCCGGCCGCGCAGCACGATGTGCCGCATGCCAACGTGTTGCGCTCGCAGCAAGTGCTGCTGTCAGCGTTGCAGAACTGAAGCGGGGGCGGAGCGGGGAGACGAGGGAGGAGTATGGCTGGACAGGGGTGTATGCAATAATAAGGCAGAGGTATGGGTGGCGGTGGTGCGGGGGAGGGCAATGCTCGGGCGGCGTGCGAGGGGCGCAAAGATGGTGACTTGGGAGGTGGGAGAGTGAGGAAGGCCGTCAGGCAGTGGTACCAAGCAGCGGTGTGGACCTGCCAGTGGAAAGGGCCGCCAGGGCCCGCGCACCTGGCCGCCCGTGCAGCATTGATTACCGCACGCCGCGCCGACGCAGCACTGCCCGTTGATGCATTGCACGCCCGGCGGGCACACCGCTGTGCCGCACAGGCTGGAGCCCGCGGCGACGCAGGAGCCGCTCAGGCAGGTCTGGCCTGCGGCGCAGCACGAGCCCTGGCAGAGCTGGGAAGCTGGGCAGCACCTGCGGGACGGGAGGTGGGGCGATCGAGAGTGGAGGGTGGGCCAGGCGGCAACACAAGCGGGCAGCAGTAGGTAGTGAGCCGCGGACAACGGGCGCTTGACAGAGGCTGTAAATGCTGCGAGGCAAAACCTATAGGCGCTTGAAGCATGGGCAATGCGCAGCGAGGGCGAGTGGTCATCGTGGCAGGCCGGAGGCAAGGCAAGCACGGTTGGGTGGGAAAGGTAACGGCTGGCGACGCCACTCACTGACTGTTGGCGACGCACGTCTGGCCGGCCGCGCAGCAGGCGGAGCCGCACAGCCGCGTCGCCTCGCAGCAGCCGCCGGTGGGCAGCACGGCGGCGCCGGCGGGGCAGCAGTTGCCTGCGCGCGCGTGCGCATGGACGCATGCGAATGCGGACTAGCGTTGCAGCAGCGAGCGGGCCAGTTGCATGGGCAGAGGACGAGCGCGCCTTTGGACTGCGTGATGGTATGCCCTCTGTTTGATTGACATACCTGCTCACGCGGCGCTGGCACTTATTGGGACTGCAGGCAGCGTGGATTCACTAAGCAGACGAGCCTGCACATGCAAAGGGTGCGTACCCCGACCCGTGTGCACAGGTCGCATGCACAGGATCTGATAGTTTAGCATATCTGGCCCTTGCAGCAGATCTGATCAAGCAAGCCCCAGCCTCAAGCCAAGCTGCCGGGGACCGTGCAAGGGCCAAGCCCGCGCCATCGCAGCCCCCTCGCGGCCGTCACCTGTGACGCGGTCGCACTGCTGCCCGGCAGCGCAGCACTTGGCGGCCGCCCCGACGCCGCACTGCCGCGCCTGGGGGCAGCTGAGTACAGCAGCAACAGCGGGAGAGCAGCGGCAGCGACGCGACGGGCGTGAGCCCGTCCGCCAAGAGGGAGGCGCGGCCAGGCTCTTGCACGAGGGGCCATTGCCAGCGCTGCATAGCACGATCCCTGACACAGCCGCCACCCGCCACAGATGCATCGGACGGTCATGCACAGGGACGCCCGCGGTGCAAAGGCGGCCTTGGGGATGACCTCACCAGCGGCTGGCGATGCAGGAGGACCCAGCGGGACACAGGCTGCCTCCACAGACCCTGTCCGCCGCGCCGCACTCGCCGCGCACGCATAGCTGGCCCCCCGTGCAGCACTTGGAGCCGCACTGCTGCGCGACGCTGCAGCAGGCTCCGAAGAAGCAGACCTCGGTATTGACGCAGCAGGCCTGCCCGCTGCGCCGCGCGACGCGCAAGGGAGGGCGCGAGGTGCCGACGACGCGGCGCTCAGTGCCAGCACACGCGCTGCCCGGCCATCCACTCTCGCGCCTCCAACCTGGTACGGCGCCTCCGTCCGCTCAATCGTAACCAGCGTCCCAAGCGCCCGCCTCAACCGTGCCGCGGGCCCGCCCCGCCTCGCCCCTTGCCGCAGTCCTGACTCACCAGACCTTGCCGCTCGGGCAGCACTGCCCAGAGTCCAAACAAAGCTGCCCCGAGAGGCACGCGCAGCTCGACCCGCCCGGCGACTGAAGAGTCACCACCTGCCGTACACCCTGACCCCGCCCCGGCGCCGGCGCGGGCGCGGGGGCTGCAGAAAGCGTGCTGCCCGGCCGGGGCTGCGGCTTGGAGGGCGCAGGCGCAGCGGGGCGCGCCGCGCTCGGCGGCGGCGGGAAGTTGACGGCGATGCATTGGGTGCCTCCAAAGCAGCGACGCGGCGGCGGGCAGCTGCGGGGGCACGGGCGAGGTGGTGGGGCGTGTCATGAGTCAGGGCGCGTGGTCTGCGTGACTAGAGGGCGGCCAGGCCAGAGCTTGCACCCGGAGGCGGCTCGGCCGGCCGTGGCCTGGTGTGGGGCGCCCTCTCACCATTCGCCGGCGCAGAAATGGTTCGGGAAGCAGCAGCCGCCGCGCTTCCCGCAGCAGCGGCCGGTCTGCCTGTCGCAGGTCGTCCCAGCTGGGCAGGCGCTGCCAGCAGTGCAGCTGGGCTGCTGCTGCTTGGGCGCGCTGGGCTTCTGCGCGCCGCTCGCCGCCACCCAAGGGGCGACAGGCAGGCTGGGGTTTGCGGCGGCCGCCTTGCGCGCGGCGGGCGTCGCGGGCGCCTTCTGCGGCCCTGAGAGCGCGCCGCTCGCAAAGAGCTGCTGCATCGCGCTTTGCTGCTGGCGTTGAGCTGGGGCACAGGGGATGGTAGTGGGTGGGGGCGCAGGGCGAGGCGAGCGCGAGATCGTGTAGCGGAGGCGAGAGTTGGCCGCATGCCGGCCACGTTCATACGTGCGTGCGGCTCGGCGGTTGGCGCACGGCGTACCAGCCCGCGTGTTGCGAAGTATGGTGCAGCCCAGCTACGACTTGGCCGCCGCTTTGAATGTTGAGTCAACGCCATACCGCAAACGTTCGGCCATTGCCGTTGCTGTCATCCTTCCAAGCAACAGCACGGTGCTGGTCTGGACAGAGAGCAGGCGGCGATTGACGCCCGCGGCTGGCCGCCTGCGCCACCCACACCTGCAGCAGGCCCGAGCCCGGCTGCCAACAGCAGCACCGTCACCAACAGCGCCGTTCGTGCGTGGTTCATGCTGTTGCTTCTATAGCATCTGTGGAACGCTGGCACCGGTATGTGGGCTGTGCTGCTTGCGTGGCCTTCAGTGCGGTGACAGTTGCACTCGGGTGATGCGGCCTGATCACCGGTGCGTTCGGTGGAAATTGAAAGCACAGTCACTCTGGTGGTGTTCTACCAATCGTTCCTTGCGGACCTAGCAAGTCTGGTGCCCGGGATTCGAGTTACTTTGATATTGTGTGGGAAAGGAGGCGCGTGGGATTACTGGATGTGCTGAGGGCATCTAACACAGCATACCGTAACCAAAGCCTGCTTGCCTCGCTGGCCGCCTGACAACCACAGCTGGGGAGCTGGGGACCATTATGAACTGCGGAAGCCGCTGCACGTGCAGATGCTTGGGCTCGCAGGTCTCGCCCCCCCATCGTGGCACATGGCTCGCACTGCTCCGAGGCACGTGGAACTAGGGCAGGTGCGAGGGCACAAACACCACGGCAAAGGCATTGGTGCTCATCACTGGGTGTTAGCTGGCACGTCAGAGTCAAACTGCTGCTGATGGTCAGCTGTTGATCGATTGCATGCGTTTACAAAATCGGGAGCGCTGGCCCCTCTTGGCGCCCAGCATTCTGGCCCGTCAACGCGTAAATCACGCCTGCCTTGTAGCCAGCGGTAATGCAGCCTGGTGCATTGCTGCAGGTGGCCACGCCAATTGCGTGAGCATGCATCTCAGTGAGTCATCAACCCACAAACCCTGCTCTTCGTGCAACGCCCTGCCCACAGTCAGCCACGCAAAGCCCGCCGCTGCAGGTGCACCGCCTTTCAGAAGCACGCCCCCATGCCGTGTGCGGCCGCGCACTCGAGCTGTTCCTCGTCCGGCTACTTTCGCACTGCTGCGTTGTGGGCCCGCACGAGGGCGGAGACCGTGGGGTCGTGGTAGCTGCCCTCGCTCGTCGTCGCCTCAGGGTACACGCCCAGGACGTCCCAGCTGGCCAGGCACCAAATGAACACCTTGGACACCCTGCGTGGGCTCGCATGGGGATGCATGCGCAGCGGCGGGGGGACAAGGCTGGGGTATTGATGCGCAGAGGGGAGGCTGTGTCATGGGGCGACTTGCCTGAGCGTCGGGAGGATAGCCCGCCGTCTGGCTGGACAGCGAGGACTGTATGGGGCGCACATGGGACCGCAGCACGCACTGCTGCCTGGTCAAACACGGGAGTGACAGCGGCGCCGCCCTGCCGTCGAAGCTTCGCGGGGCCTTAGCGCTACCGTGCGCCCCCCCCTCCCCCCGCTCCCCCGGCGCGCGCCACTCCCGGCTCGCCTGTAGGTCTTGGGCTGCATCAGCCATGCAGCGGTTTTATGGTAGTACTCCCTCTGCAGCGCGCGGTTGGCCGGCAGCGACCAAGGGTCGGAGGCACTGCGGTAGGGCCCGTAGATCCCAAAAAAGGGGCGCAGGGCGACCTCTGAGGGGCTGGTCGCGATGGTGGTGCCTGGGGGAGTACAGCAGGCGGGAGGCATGGGCACACGCGGCAGACGAGCGGGCGGGAAGGAAGTGGGTGGAAGCCAAGGGCGAGGGAATGCAAGTGCGCGGTCCGTCATGCGCGTGGCGAGGCTGGCGCCGTGGGCGTCGACGGCACCGGTGTGAGCTGAGGAGGGGTGAGCTGGTGGCGGCCAAGCCTCGCTGATGTTTGTCCAACACGGTCCAGGGGGCCGGGGGCCGGGGGCGGGGGCTCGCAAGGGCGCGGGGGTCACCGACGGCGAGCGTCTAGAAATTACACGGCTAATGCTGCAGTCGTTTCAAACCCTCCCAAATTTCGGGAGAGGCGTCTGGCTGCGCTGCTGCAGCGGTGCAGGGCGTCGCACCTGAGTAGCGGGCCCCCCCTCCCAGGCCGTACTCGCTGTAGTGCAGCTCCAGGGCGCCGCTGTCAATCAGGCCCTGCATATCAATGCCCATGTTCCGCATCTCATCCTGCGGCGCAGCACCGGCGAAGCCCATGAACACAGCAAACACGAGCGTCATTCCGTCGTTAGGGGGAAGAGTGTTCATCGGATAGGGAAGGGCCGGGGCTGAGTGGGGGCCCGCTGCAGGCCAGCGCCCTTGGAATATTCAAGGCGGCCGGCGGCTGCCAGGGCAGGCTCCATCACGCTCTTCCACGAAGCCGCATGCAATTGCCTGCTCCGCCTGCGCACGCCAACTCGACGGACCAACCTCTCCTGTCACCCCGCCCCACCCCGCCCTGCCCACCCCAAGTGTGAACGCCGCGTTCTCCAGCTCCTTGGTCGCAAACCCCGGCCCGCTTAGCGGCGCGTACGCGCTGACGCCCACGAACTGCAGGTGCTGCTGGAACAGCGCCCGCAGGCCCGCCGCGTCGAGCGGCGGCGCGGAGCCGGCCGGGCCGAAAAAGTCGGACAGGCCGAGCGCCCAGGCGGCCCAGCTCAGGCGGGAGGACTGGTAAGTCTGCGATGTCGAGCTGGTGTCGTCTGCGCGCGCGTGACACGGCACATCGTGAGCAGAGCAAGTATGTATGCATGCATATGCATGTGACGAGACGGGCAGGCAAACCGGCGTGCGAGCGATGGCGTCAGCGGGTGCGGCGTGACCAGGGCGGGTTTGGTTGGGGCAAAAACGGCCTGGCAGGCGGGTGCCGAGCGGGCGTCTGGGCGGCGGTCGGGGGCAAAGCAGGCAGGGGGCCCCATCGGGGAGGGGCACGCCCAGCGTGGGACGGCGTTGCTCAGAGGGGACTGGCAGGGTGCTGTACATGTGCTTCACTGTACAATCCCATGAGCCTGGATGGCTCCAGGAGCGGGCGACCGCGGGACGCTGTAACAATCCCAATCCTGTAAATGGGTAGGGGGAGGGGCTGTAAAGGTCTGTGCGCACCCAGGCGGTTCCAGTTGAGGCCGATGCCAAACTTGACGGCCGCCAGCGGCCCCACGCGCTTCCTCAGGGGCTCCACCAGGGCGCCCCACTCCCGAGGGTACCGCATCACCGTCGCGCTCATCTCGCCCTGCAGCAGGCAGGGCAAGGGCCACATGAGAGACGCAAGCCGCAGCGGATGCATATCGACGCGTATCGTGATGGCAGCATGCACACAATCATCCACTGGCGATGCATGCTGACTCAAAAGCAGCAGGGCACGTTGTCCAGGTCGCCTGGGTGATTTTGCCACGTCATCACATCTGGCTGGCCGCACCCCGCAGCACCTGCATGGCAAAGTAAATTGTGGGTTTTGGCTGGCCCTTGCGGAGTCCCTGGGTCTGCTCCAGGGCGCTGCGCATGGCGTCAGCCAGGGGCGCCAGCATGATGTCTGCATCATGAGGTTAGGGGTTGTGGCAAGATTGGTTGGTGTGGGAGTGCACGCCGCAAAGCGATCGGACGCGCGGCGCATGAAGCCCGGCATTTGGTCCCCACTAAGCCCAGAGTCCATCAAGTCCACAAGAGGTGTTGCGGCATGCAAGGGCTGACGAAGGGGCTGTGCCGGCTCGGTGCAAGAACGCTGCCGTCCTGCCTACCGTAATAGGAGGCGCCATTGTAGCGCTTTCTGGGCTCAAGCAGCAGGGCATTGCGCCACGCCCCGTGACCAGTGCCGTCGTCCTGGGTTGGCGGCAAACATCAAACCCAAGCAGGAGGTCAATAAATAGCAAGGGGCCTCACAGGTTGAACGGGTGCCGTTCAGCCTGATTGATACGCGCTGGGACGCCAGCGCAGGTAGGCCCGATGCAGGAAAGCTTGCTGCTGTCGGGTCGCCATTGGAATTTCCTTGGGAGGCAGCTCGCACCAGGTGGGGGCGAATCCCAATGGTCAGGCCAAGGCGCAGCGCCTCTGCAAAGCAGACAGTCATGCCATCCCTGAAATCAGACACCAGCTGGTCGGACCACCTGTGGCAGCGGGACGGCAGGGGCAGAACGAACGCCAGGGGTGGAGAACGGATCAGAAAGGGATCATGTGGGCGTCATGTGGGTACATACAGTACTATCCAGTGAGACTTTGTCACTGAGCTGGGGTGGGGTGCCATCCCTCTCCATGTTACGCTTCTCACACAGCGAAAGAGAGAGAGAGAGAGACTACGCTGACGCCTCGCGCGGCTAAAAGCCACGCTGCAAGCGGTGCCGCGTCGGGTTAAGGAGAGCGGTGTGTGTGGTGAGCCACACCCCCAACCGTGGAGACTAAGGGACATGCTCACGTGACGCCACGCCCTTGGCGCGGCTGCGACGGCTCTCACACAGCTGTTTTGCGTGTGCCTATCTACAGGGCGCTGGCAGCCGGCGGGTTCTGCAGGCTGCAGGTCGGCTACCTGGAGCTGGCCAAATCTGGCTGGGGCCCACAGTGCAGGGACGTCGTCGCTCACCCCTTGCACTTGTTGTGGCCGTTGGTGCCTGACATGAGGCAGTAGCCCCCGACCTCATTGGAGCGGTCCGCGCTGGGAGGTATCCAATGGTGAGTGGGGACAAAGTTCACCTGGCCGGTGCCAGGACGGGCGAGGGCGGATGGGTTGCGGGATGCATGAGCACGTGATTGTGGGACATCAGGGATGGGGGAGGCTGAGCAGCTGGCCGCCGTCGCAACCTCACTGGCCGCTGCGCGCGGGGAGAGCAGGGAGTCAGTCGCCAGCTCGGAGCTTATGAAGGCTCTGCTCTGCTCCCAACGGATGCAGGCGCCTCACGCACCGCCTGGTGGACAGGCCTCGAAACCCCCGCGAACAAAGACAAACTTTGCCCCTGCCTGCTGCACAACCATGAACACCCCAACCTGAGAGTGACTGTGCAGCCAGCACCAACCTCGCTGGACTCTGCCCTCTCCACGCCCCTCCACAGCATGTCCAGGCAGCGGCTCCAGGTGTCGCCCTTGCTCGTCTGCTCGAGCTTCCAATCGAATTCCCCAATCATCAATACTGAGGGGCTGATCTCTGCGCCTCCTGCAGCGGCGGCTACCGCTGCCCACAAGCAGCTTTGAGCCGCCATCACCAACAGCAGGGCGACGTGCCCACGGCGGTGGCCCTGAGCGCCTTGATGCATGGCCTTCAACTTCGCACGCACGGTCTGGCTGGTTGTTGGTGAGGTTTCTACCAGAACGGCCTCAACCTGCAGTGGTGCTTGCTTTGTGCAGTGCTGCAGAGGCAGCCAGCGCACGGAAAGCAGCGAACCACGTTGCCCCGCTTCAACAAGACCAAATCAATTAGTTATTCAAAGATGGCGAAGGTGTGTTGATCACCTTAGCTTCGGAGTTCCTCGCAGCCAGCGTCCTGCGGGTCAACCGGTCGCCGAGGAGCCACCTCAGCACGCGAAGCGGACGCTCAAGGAAAACAAATGACACATTTGAAAAAAACGGTCCTTTCACTCCATAAACGGGCCCTACGAGCAACCTTGGACCACGACCCCGCCCCAGGTGCTTGCCCAGCATCGTATCGCACACACTCCCTGGAGTGTTGATCCTGGTACGGCAGCCGTTGAGGGACCACCAATAAGCCTATGCCATGCCATTGCTGGATTGGACAATGCCAAATGGGCAAAGCCAGATGCCACCTGAACAAGACCATCAAGGGCTTTGTGCAGCAACATATACTTTTCAATCGCTTGCACCATCACTTGTATCGCTTTGCTTACACCTAGCCTCGCTGCTGATGGTTTGACTGGCCCCACACGCTTGCTTCACCGCCCTGGTTGGCTGGCCCCACGCACAATTTGTGCATGCGCCCCATGCGCAGACTGTGCATGTCGAACATAGGTGTGGCAGGCCCTCCAAGGGCCCGTGGCATTCGCGCGACTCAGCCCGTCATGCAAGCAGCATGCCAAGGCTGGCAAGCAATGACCCTTGCAGCACACCCTGCGTTGGGCTGGGCCACCCTCCCAAGTTGCTCACCATCTGCGGAGTCAAGACTCGTCACTCCTGGCGGGTACAAACCATACATACCGCAGTGCTGGAAGAGGCCGATTACAAGATTTTGCGGTATTGAGCCATCAGAGCTGAAGCCTGAGAGTGAGCTCCAGACGTTTGAGCTAGGGCTTGCAGAGGCGGTGAATGGGGTGAAAGGTGGATATGGTTTGTGTTGTTGATTGAACGAAATCCCGACAACGGTGCCACTGCAGAGGAAAAAACGACTGCGCAAAGCTGATTGCTCGCCATTTGGTGGAGAAGCGGGTGCCCCTCCCAGGCGCCCTGCAGCCGCAACAGTGCCCGCCAATTCAGAGCATTCAAGAGCAGCAAAACTTCTCAGCGCTTTAATGCGTGCCGGGGCTGCGGCGCGCATCAACAGCCGCCCAAGCACGCGCAAACGCCGGCAAGGCGCGCAATGCACCAACCGTGCAGCGGTGGACCCGTGGCAGCCGCCCCGCCGTGGCCCCCGCTGCCGGGGCGGGGCCGCGCGCGGCC